ATGACTGGAGAAAAACGTTCTACGATTTAAATGCTGACTAAAAGCACTAACAAAATATAACATCAGAAAAATCACAACCTTGAAGGACACTACAGAAACTTCGGTTTTCTAGTAAGTTGAGGCCTCAAAGGATAGCTTAAAACTTTTAACATGACAATGCTTCGAACAGTTGGCTCATTCTGAAAAGTTCAGATGAAAATACATTAACGATTTTCAAAACCGCTTTAAGTACGTAAGTAATATAAAGACATTTCAATGTTTAATTATAATTTTATCGCTTGCAACAAGATATGCGCGTATATGAAAACATATGAGGTCGATGTTCAGTTGCTACAAGCCATTCAGTCACTATATGCTGATAACAGGTACTGCGTCAAAGTAAATGGCGCAAGGCAGAAAACTTTCAGCGTCGACACTGTCTTCGCCAAGGCTGCTTTCTGCCGCCTTTCTTGTTTCAGTTATACGTGGATAGAATAATCAGGCGCAGCCAGAACGATGAGAGTATCAATTTAAGGAATGTCGAAACGAGAAAACTACTGCTTGCAGACGACCTTGTTTTGCTGGTATCTTCAGAAACTGTTCTACAGCAATCTCTGGAAAGGTTTGCGCCCAGTGCCATGTGGCCGGCGTATTTAAAACGAAAAGCCCAGTGCTTTCTCGTTCTCTCCCGTTACTCTCTTCAGATAAATGGAGAAGCAGCGCATCAGATGGAGAAGTTCAGGTACCTTGGAGTCGTTTTTACTGGTAATGGAAAATCTGAGCAAGAGATCGACTGGAGTAGCCCATGTCGCTTTGAGTGCACTAGCCCGAATTGTTGTGACTAAAGCAGCGCTTAGTCTGAAAACATTTTCTGAAGATTGAGTACTCAATCTTCATATCCATACCTACCTACTTTCATGAGTAGTAAACCATCGTTGAAAACCTTCAATTCCGGTACAAGCAGCTGAAATGGGCTTTCTGACACGAATCGCTCTAACAACGCGTCTCCGATTTGGTATGAAATATACATATTTGAGAGCCCTGGTGTATAGCAGCTGCTTCTTCAGATTGCGATATCATAGGTGCGATAGTTTGGGCAGTGTTGCGAGTGTCTTCAGAAAGAAATACGACGCAATTACCACTTGCCCAATCGAACCAGCCGAAGACCCGGAGAACGGCCAAGAATCGCCATGGCATGCATCGAAGGACTTTGCACCAAACTCGAGTTATCTTCTAGTGAAGTTCAAACCCTGGCAAAGCATCGGTAACGTAGGAGACAGCCTGATGCGACGGCCTCCTTGACCAAAAAAAGTATGGTGCGATGACAACTTCGATACCAGGTAAGCGGTCATCGAAACGGACTGCCATTCCGAAGCAATATATTTATATTACTTAGGGCATTTGCTAACTCGGATGATCTCGCAATCCTTTACTTGAACTCACAGCTACGGCGCAAATACATCCGTTGTTCCTTGATGACGAACTTCGGCCTGTAACAATTTAGAAGGGTGAAATCTAAATCAATGCTTAGAACAAAAGCTCAATGAAACTGAAGTAAATCGTAGACGTTATTCGGCTTAAATAGTACAACACAAAACTTTAGAATCCATCGCATTGCAATTTAACCCAATAATACTTAATCTAAAATAGACTGAATCCTCCACAACTCATACAGTCAGAGTAAACACTTGCAGATCGCGACATTAAGTGGATGAGCACCCTTGTATCTTGCATGCCGTTAAGATGCGATGACAACTTCAATGCCAAAACGAGCAATCTGCATCCTGAGTATCTATGACAAAAACGAAAGAAACGCAAGCCCTAAAGCTATCGTCGCACTTTATAAGATGAAGAATACAGATCAAATGATAGAAACAATATCCTGCACAAAATAATGAATTAACAACTATCTCATTTTAAAAATTCGTTTACTGATACTCTATCAGGAAAATGAAGTATAAACAAGACGCCTGAAAGCCTAAAATTGATTTTTACACCAAAGTAGCACAGCTTTCAGAACACAACACGCTGTTGAATATGTTGTATCGTGCATTGACACAGACTACTTTAGTGTTAAGCATTCATCGGTCAACAAAAGAAAATTGTTTACTGCTAGTTTCAAACGGGTA